CGGAACGTGGTACCCGATCCAATGTTTATGTCGGAACGTGGCAACCGATCCCATGTTTATGTCAAAACGTGGCAACCGATCCCAGTTAGTGTGTCGGAACGCAACACCCGATCCATTCAACAAGCCACAATCACAATTTCAAGTATTTTCTAATAATCATATAATCAAGTCATGATTTCATGGCAAACAATTATTCAATCATCCTCATTTATGAATAGTGTGATCAATAATGCAACATTCACATACATACACATATTATAATGAAGGGGGAACAAACATACATCACACAACATAAAATCACAACCATCACCTACCTCGAAACAAGCTTGAATCCCCTAAGAAACTTGATTCTTCCCTTTCCGGATTCGTTCCGCTTGTTCTTGGTCTACAAACAATCATAATAGCGCGAGGATCAATAAACAACACCTAATTACCCGGATTATAAAAAATAGCATCAATATTAGGTCAAACCCTTGATCTACATACCCAGATTAGGGCTTTTTCCATTATAATTTCCATATCAAAACCCTCCCCATCGATAATTACCCACTAGTTTACATTCTACGGATCAAAAAATGGATTCGGAGAGTTAAAACCTTACCTTTAACCTCAAGAATGATGGAAAACTGTCAAGAAAACACCTAGGCTCGTCTCCTAGCTCTCAAAGTCGAAAAGTGCAGAATAAAATGATTTTGGGGTTTATTTTAGACTTAAATCGCGATTGTCCCGCCACATCGGTCACAGCGGTCCCGCCCTGGTGGGAAAACTCCGCCTTAGTGGCTTGCACTGAAACAATGATCAATTTTAAGAAATCCAAAACTCCCATTTCACAACACACCTTCAACCAATGACACTCAGAAACTACCCGTTCAAGTCAAGATCAGTTTCGGGAGTTCTTCTCACCCGAATTCAATTCCGTAAAGTCGTACGGATTTCTTAACGTCTTAGCTATCTACTCATGTGATAAAAAACATAATTAGATCACCCAATTGTTATTAGATTTCCTTAGACTTTACTGACACCGATTTCGTCCAAATCTGGACTAGGTTGGGAAATTCCAAGTTACTACGGAAAAGTTTTTCGGTCTAAAATTTTTCCCTGTTGGCTTTTCTATAACGACGGAACAGGTCGTTACATATAATTACAAAATTGGCCATCTTATGTTTGATCTTCCTAAAGCATCTTTATGTTTGTAATTTGTTCTTAAAAATGGTTTTTAAACCCTGTCTTTTTATAAGAATACTTCCTAAATTCTAAATATTTAAACATTTTCATATGGTTCAATTATTTTAAACTAATACTAGTATACGTGCCCGCGCGTTGCGCGGATAATTTAAAATGTAATAATTTTATAATTAAAAATAACTAATAAAATATATAATGCACTTAATAATACATTTAATTTATTATAATAACAATATAATAATACAAATCATTAACTTGTGTATTTGAGCAATATTAAATTTACATTATTAGTACACACTTTAATTTATTGTAATATATATGGATAGTTATCTTTGAATTCAAATTTTAAAAAGTTAAAAATTTAAAATTTAAAACTTATAGTATATTTTAAAATTGCAATTTTCAACTTAATTTAATTTTGTTATATATATATTGTGAATAGTCTTAAATTTGCTAAATGACTTATAATAGTGATATTGTTCAAGATAGAATTCAACGCTAGCTAGATATAGATAAATATTATTTATCTTAATTCAAGTTTAAATTTTATTTCTCATAATATTATTTTTCAATTTTGAAATTTGATTGTCTTTTAAAATAATATTATGAAAACATAACTTAATGCCTTCTATGTTATGATAGTGATAGAGACAATTCCTCATTAATCTTGTGCTAAGGTTGAAAATCTGTATAAATAAATAAATAAATAAATAAATACATAATAATATTAGACAAATGGATAGCATACTCCTTACATAACCCGATTGTCTCACATCTCTACAATTATGTTTTTTGGTAGCAATCTTTATTTATTTCCAGTAAAACTCATTTGGCCATTTCAATTACATAAATTACCATCTAAATAGAAAAACATGGACGACTTAAATACAACTACGAGTGAATTTTCTGGTATGTTTTTTCACATGTAAGTTCAAAGTACTATAGATTTTCCATTACATTGAAGTGTCACCATCTCGCTTAAAAGTTTGAGCTATTAGAAAGAGCACACTTTAATTTACTTCAACATGCCCCTCACAAGTGCATCTAATTTATTTTCAAGGGTCAAGTACGAGAAAATTCTTTTGATAATAGGTGGCACTGAGGCTCGAACCCGGGATATCTGCCTCCTCTGCTACCATGTGGAAGCGAGATTCACCCTATGTTGCTTGGACTCTTGAATTCTACAAAAATGTTGACTAGTGCATGTCAGATTCTCCAAAAGTAGTGCATTTTTTGGAGGATCCGACACTGGGGCGACGACATATTTGAGAGTCCGAGCAACATAGGATTCACCACGCTCCTTTAAATGCAGAATCAAATACAAGACAATATTCTAGGCTATTAGCAACAACAGAGAGAAGAGTGTAACCTCTTCGGGTGGATCATAATATATTCCATTATATGGAATTTCATCAGGAAGCTGTAAAGAGTAGTTGATCCAAGCAGGAATGGAATCCTTAACACCTGATGGAGTGTCCATACGTATCTACATTTCAGTATATTAAGAGCAAATATTAGCAAATAGTTACATAGAACCACCATGATCATACATAGACTATAAGCTATTGGAGGGGGTGCTATCAGGTTTAGAAGTGAATAGACCTATATAAACTAAAAAAAAATAATCTTGAACATGCTTTGACATAAGTATTTTAACTGAAAAGGTAGAAAACAGTGATACCGACAGCCAAGGCATAAGAAACCTGAAAGTCAATCAGAGCACCGTAGAAAATGAGTCATACCTTCACTCTGGACCCATGAGGAATTGCTGGAGAACCATCCACATTATTTGGCAGAAAAATCTCCCAGACACCAAATTCATTCTGCTTATAGACTATGAATTAGTTTTATGCAACATTCCAGCACTGCATAGAGCTTAACATTACTGGAAACAAGTCAAGAAAGATTACTTAAATATCTTAAGAAATCCACATTTTCTTGCAAAGACTTCCTTGTAACATGCAAATTTGAAAAGGGGTTCACGTGCCAATACAACTCAATCAAAAAGGGGGTAAATGAAAAGGTAAACAGAACTAAGAATACGAGCAATTTGATAGAAACTGTGAAAGGAATAGAAAAGACAATTGAATGAAAAGAACACAGCTTCAGAAATGGAAACAGAACCACTTGGGTATGTACTATGGGGGACATACCCGAGTCATAATGTCAGCATTTGCGTCCCAATTGTTGAAATCTCCAATGAGGGCAGCTGACTGCAAAAGAACGGAGAGGATATACATGCAATCAGACTTTCAACAAACCTATATTATCATGAACAAAATACAGAAGTTGGTATAACTGACGGACACAAAAGTAGAGACCACCAATGACTTTCCAGGTTATTTTAAATCATCTGTCTCTCATTTAACATATACTGCACCTAAACTTTATTTTTCTAGTAATCAGTTTACACAAAACGTCAGAATGTGCAGCTTTGGTAGAAAAATGTTCTATCATAAACCCAACAACTATGTGTTGCTGAACGGATTCTCCTATCTTTTAGAAGTTTCCTTGATGAAAATTAACATACTGATTCTGAACACATCTGACTTCATAAATATATAGAAACAATTTTTATTCTGATAGAAGGACCCACTAACCAAAAGACAAACCGCTCGGTTTGCTGTTATAAGTACCTATACTGGCAGAACACAAGCCAGGTCAAAATATAATGCCTTCATTCCTTGAGACAAATTTGTACTTAGTTGGCTGATTTTAAGTCGATTAGTCCTCTAGGTATCCTGCGAGCTAATTCTTACATGCCAAATTAGATACTTTACTTGCTAACAGAAAAAGGTCAGTACACGAATGCATGAGTTATACCGAATACTCAGTAAATGATAGACCACTTCAAATCTCTGTTTTCGAGAGGGACAATCAACTCTGCAAATATCGATCGAAACTTGAACCCTTGTATGCGCATGCAATTTCAGAAAGCACAACAATTGATATAGGTAGTCCATATTAGTATCAGATGTATTACCATGTTCTGATCTTTCCATTTTTTTGACCCATTTCTTGGGTAAGTCTCCCAACAATATTTGAAAATGAAGTTATCCATAAAGAGAAAGAAAGTTTTCGACCAAGCTACCTCCTAAGGTCGCTTTTTTTACCTGGACAGCTCTATATGAGGCATGTCTCACCCAAGACA